TATGACCGTTTTCGGCAGGTTGTCTATTCCCAAGCCAAGGGCAACCCGTGCAGACACTCGGACAACACAGAACTGCTGATTTCTTTCCATTGATAGTGAGACATGCCGGGACCCTCTCCACTTCAATTCATATGTCCGCATTCCCAACCCCAAGTGCAGCGCGTTGGCATGAGAAGCAGCGAGGTACAACCCGCACGCGCCGGGTGGGTGGGCAATTTAGGCCCCAACGCTAGAAACCTTCCATTGGTGGCGGCGCACTGCCCCCTCGGTCCTTCGGCCTCTCTGGGAATGGTAGCCACGTGGCTGATGGATCGTTCCCTGCGGGGTGATCGACTCTGTGACCGCTCCCTTTCATGAACCGCTAGTTGACTGCTCAGATGCGGCTTTTTCGGGGATGGCGTGGGCGGTGTGACCGTTAATGATGGTGGTGATCAATGAGGACCTGGATGGTGCATCCACAGAGCCAGCCACAGACAGGCCCCTGTCATAGTGTGAGCAGATTTATACCTCTGTCTGGACTATAAGGCCTCGTTATTCCTCGTATGGTGAATTCATGACGCGCCACGACGGCCTGGAGACAGGGAACTGTTGACATGACACTGGATTATTGAACAGCATCGCCGATCTGGGAAGTGGCGCACTGCGACGGAAGCGCCCGTCTTTCAGGACATAGAACCCATAGTCGCCCTGGATTTCGCTTCCCCCAGTAATTGTGTGTTGTACATCTTGCTCCCCTTGGACTTGCATTTGATCCATGGCCATCTAAAACAAAAACCCAAGCAGGGCTCCCCGATGGTTACTCGCGAGCCCGCCCAACGGGACGTATTCGATCCGGGGCGCAGAGATGTGACCTTACCCACTGTCAGCTGCCGACTCCAATGGACGACTCGCTTTACACACCGGGGGTCTCCTGGCCGTATCACTACCAGGCAGATGACTTGAGAACCCTCGCTTCCTGTACGACATCATCTTTATCCAACATCAAAATTAGAAACACAAACATTAACAGCCCAGGGCAGGCCGGTCGGACTCTAGACTCGGCAAGATTGCCGATCCGTCTCCCGGTGAATCCACGAACCAAATATTACATCTGCGGTGTGCCGACGGTTCCGATCTCACACCACCGTCACAATCTCCAAGTCCGTTTGACGGACTGGATATTGGCCCGTCCTCCCTGAGGCAAAGCCATCTTGCCCATGTCGCCGGCCCATGGTCAGCCTTGCACACGACCGGCGAAGGCCAGAGGGGGAGCGGCAGTGGCGTCGTCACCCGGTCGTCTGGCACTATGGCAACCAAGACGGCATCCAGTCAGAAGGTTCCCGCGAACCGGACCTGCCCGCTATGCTTTAAGCAGTTCACCCGATCATACAACCTCCGCTCGCACCTGCGCACACACAAGAACGAGCGGCCTTATAAATGCAACGTGTGCAGCAAGGCGTTCGCCCGGCAGCACGACCGCAAGCGCCACGAGCGCCTCCACCTCGGCCAGATGCGGTTCGTCTGCCGCGGCGACTTGGAGCTCGGCGGGCAATGGGGCTGCGGGCGTGCCTTTTCCCGGGATGACGGCCTCGCGCGGCACCTGCGCTCAGACATTGGCAGCGAGTGCATCCGGCCGCTATTAGATCAGGAGAGGAAGCAGCACCGGCGGAGGTCGTCACCCGTCACCACGGGGTCAACATCACCGGCGACCACGATAGCGCAGCAGCCGATCGCGGGTGCTGAATCCTTGGCGGCCATCGCCACGCCCATGGATCTGGACCCAAACCTGACTTACCCCTACGTGGTGACCGGGATGGGCTGGACCAGCATGGTACCCGTTTCCGCTGCGCTGCCGCCACAGTATCCCACCCTCGCGACTGTGAGCTGGTCTCCATCTCGTAGCGTTGATCCGGCATTCATGTCCAACACCTTATTCGACTTTGGCGGTGGCAGGACAAGCGAGGCCGGTACTCGCACACCCGACGCGGGGACTTACACAAAGTGGTGGAGCTCATACACCGAAGCGTCCGGCGTAGCGAAGTTGAAGGAACGTCGAGAGGGACCGGACGAAGGGCATTTACATGATTCTTCTAGATGAGTACAGTATAAACTTTTCCAAGTAACGGGTCTCAGTTATCATCTCCAAGGCCAGCCATGGGGATCCGGCTGCGCCAGCCCTTCAGCAGCGGACCCCGGCGCCACCATATTGGCAATGTTGGGTTCTTGACTGCTCGCCCTTGATGGCGCAGTGTGGCTCTGGGACGGTCGGACGGTCGAAAGAACCGCTCCACTGAGTCTGGGGTGGAAGATAAGAGGAGGGCAGTCAAACGGTAAGAAGTGGTGGTTCCAACACTTTTCAGGTCACCGGGGTTCACCACATCTGAAAATGACCGAACCAAAATCGCATATGCATAGATAGTTTGCAGCCTTTCCAGTGGTGTTCTGTCAACTAGATGTCCCGTACGTGGGCACACACCGAGCCAAAGCCCGGGCGACCAATGGTCTGACCCGAGTCCAGGCATCCCTATCGGAGAGATTAGGTCCGATACTCGCCGTCGAACCCTCAAATGTGACCAAAACAACGCTGCCATGAATCTTCCTCAAGTTCCCCAATATACATTGGAGATTGCGATATAACTGGGTTTCAAGCGTTTCGGACGGCGGTACAAAACCATCGTGATGTTGCTACCTTCCTCGTAGCAGCCCGAACACCAACCTATACAAAAGGAAATGTGCAAATAGTCAATCTTAGGAGGAGTATCCGCCAACAGTCGCTGTCTATACTGTTCCTCCATCTTTCCCTCTCGTTCGACCACGTTACTGCCTTCGAGAACAGAATTAGGTGCCTGGTGGCAGCAAGTGATCGATAAGCAGACCAGTCTGGTAAGCATGGTCGGACGACGTGACGAAAAGTGTGAGGTCCGGTGAAAGGGGACGGCGAAGGCAAACAGATGGTCGCAGATCAAACGTGCATATACGAGTTCCTGCTGAATGGCAGTGCTGGAGTACCCAGGGGAGAGCTGTGTGGGAGCGGGAGTTTATGGACTGTCGGCCACCCGCGGTCGACTCATTGACAACAGCCCGCGAGTTGGTGCGGGTGGGACCGGCGGTCGCGCCTGGAACCCCTTCGATACGGGATCCTGCGAGACGAAATCAAGCCCCGCACGATACAAGCACTGGCTAATGCCGTTCAATGGAGCAGAGGGGTGAGGCGATCGAGGCTAACTGGGGCGATACCATACAAGTCACCGTGCGCAACAATATCTCTACTCCTAACGAAGGCACCGCACTGCACTGATACGGGTTTCTTCAAATGGGCAAGCCGTGGCAGGATGGTGTGCCCGCGGTGACACAGTGCCCCATTCCTCCGAGGAAGTCTTTCACTTACTCTTTCGAGGCCGAGCTATACGGGACCGCCTGGTATCACTCGCATTATTCTGCGCAAAGCGCTGGGGGTTTATTCGGCCCCATAGTAATCCACGGGCCAACGGAAACGAAGTACGATATCGACATCGGCCCTGTCATGCTCACAGATTGGTTTCACAAGAATTACAATCCGCATCCATGCTCCACTACCTTGCAGGCCGCTTNGAGCTATACGGGACCGCCTGGTATCACTCGCATTATTCTGCGCAAAGCGCTGGGGGTTTATTCGGCCCCATAGTAATCCACGGGCCAACGGAAACGAAGTACGATATCGACATCGGCCCTGTCATGCTCACAGATTGGTTTCACAAGAATTACAATCCGCATCCATGCTCCACTACCTTGCAGGCCGCTTTTCATTTGTCGAGTTGCCGACATCTTCCTGGTGGACTGCCATCAAATGACGGCGAAGGTGAGAAAGTCGGTTGAATGGGTCCACTCTGCGTCTGCATTGGACATAGTCACAATAGAATGTCTTAGCAACATGGCATTTCTTGTAGTGTCGGTCCAGATCCAAGTGTTGATCGAATGGCTTTGCAGAGCAGGCCGGAAACAGACAACACACAGGAACGTCTGGTGAGCCCTGCCTATGGCGCAGCCATGATGCCTCATCCGTCGCGGCGTATGGCCCACATCAAGAAGAACTGGCCAAAACAGTGGCACAAGCGGGTCCTTGATGGCGTGAAGTATTGGGAGGATCACTACCAGGGACTACCAATTACCACCATAACGCCTGAGCTACGCGATGACCTACAGCCACCTGACGAGTATGACCTGCTTGCTCGAGAGCTTGATGTCGTCAGCCCAGCGATGCGGGACCTCGACGAGTACAAGTCCTTTACCGCAGAACCCCCCGTGGCCATTGACTGTTCCCCGCTTGCGTGGTGGCTAAGAGAGGAGCAGCAACAGCGATACCCCCATCTTTCCAAAATGGCCGTTGATGTCCTCTCCATACCCGCCATGTCGGCCGAGCCAGGGCGAGTTTTCTCCGGCGCACGGCGCACAATATCGTGGGATCGATGCCGATTGGGAAGGCATGCAATCGAGAGAGGGGAGCTTCCATTCGCGGTGAGCCGGTATCCATGATCTATTATAGCTGAGGGCTGAGCGAGAGCAACTTCAATTAAACAGACATGGAGAGCTCGGTCCGTTGTGTTGCAGGCACCTACAGCTTCTTCTTCGAGTTCCGTACACAGCCTCCGTAGAGACGCGAGTTAGCCAATGCCAAGAATGTTTGGCCAGTCCAGGTTGCATACCCGACTGCTTTCGTACCGGGTTGCGAGCATCGGGCATGTTATACAAACCGTCCTGAACAGAAGTCATGCTAGGAGGTTGGCCGACGTCATGTGGTGGTGTATTGAGGTCACTGAGGGGATTCAACCTGGCATCATTCGCATGACCGGCAGCCCTTTGGGTGTGAGCGTTCACAACGTAAGCTCCCTGATGAGATAGGTGACTGGCTCTAGTTGGATTTCCGCGGCGAATAGAGCACTTCCGGAAGTGACACTTCAAGGTGTCTGTTCGCCAGAATGTATTCCGGCAAAGCACACACATGTACGGGCGATTGCCAGTGTCTGTCAAGCATATGTAAGGCCCGTCCCAGAGCGAGAAAAGGTGTGCTTGGGGGGCGGTTAGAACTTACGTCGAAGGACATGGCGCTTCAAGTGCTTGGCGTGGAGATACACATTGGTACAGTGACGACAAGGAAACTTGCCATCAGCATTCTTGCCGGGGATCACGGTGGTAGCCACACTCAAGCCAGTGCTGGGAGCGGCGGGCCAGTCGGCAGCGCTGGCGAGGATGTCTCGGCCTCGACGACCTTCGTAGTCCACGACATCCGTCGGCTGATAGTCCTCGTTGAGGGTTGGGTTAAACTGCACGAGAGATTTGCATGGCGACAGCTCGGCCTGAACGATGGTGCCTCCTGGCGGCATCGGGCGCAGGACCCGGGAGACGTGGCCACCTATCGCCGTTCCGCTAACCCCGGACACACGGCCCCGATTCGACCCTCCACAAGCTGCGCTGAGGGAAGACCTCAGCCCAAAGATCCGCGACCACATGTTGAACATACGTAAGCGGTCCCATGTCATCTCCAGTTTGAATTATTGCAGTGGTATTCTCGGTAGATTGAAGCTGACTGGTGTGACCAACTCCTCAGTGATTGCTGCGCGCGACACGTCCGCCTGCCTGATGAGCGCCGCCTTCTTCGAGCTCGCAAGACAGCCAGCCGTCCAAGCCAAGATCCGAGCCGAAGTCGAGAGGCAGTTGGATGGACGGCTTGTGACGGTACAAGGCACGAGCAAGGTCGAGTGCGACTTGGACAAAGTGATTGTCTACAAGGAGAGAAAGGGGGAAGAAAGAGCTTCGTAAGGAAGACTCTCACTTTGGCTAGGTGTACAATTCCACAAGTGAGACATGCATGAAGTCACCTGATTGTTCCCTCACACGGCTCCCCAACTACGACGACCTCAAAAACATGACGTATCTCAACTGGTTCATCAAGGAGACCCTGCGACTGTACCCGCCGATTCCCATGAACATCCGCGTGGCGAACACAGAAGAGAGAGCATGGGGAGGAAACCGGTTCGCTCACAGCTGTACGCTTCTCACTGGAGTTTGCACAACCAACTCAAACCAGTTTCTTGCCGCAGTCATTTGGTCCTGAGATGCTGCTAACATTCCGAGCAAAAAGACGGGACACAGCGGCGCTTGGGCGGTGAAATGAGTGCCCGATGTCGGCATGATTCGGACGCAGTTAGCGAGGTCTTCCATATTGACAAGCACCGCAGGGCTGTTTCGAGGCAGCCTAAAATGTCTAATTAGCATGGCCGAGTACCTCCTCCGAGTAACCGATCCTCTGCCGGACATCTGGTTCCGTAGCAATGTCCAGCTAACTTCCCTGCGGATTTCTCAATCGATCATGGTCGGTGGTGCCATCATCCTGGCCGAGACCATGTTGGCCCTGCCGCACCCGGCTGATCTCAATCCCTTAGAAGAAGTTGAAAGGTTCAGATGGCTCTTGCATGGCACTCGGGAAGAAAACTACAAGATCCATGGCGGCTGTGGTCTCTCTAGGCGGCTCCTGCACCTCATCGGCCAGATAACATATTGTGCCGGGCGTCAGCAGCAGGAGCCCGGTAGCCCTGTCGTCCCATTAACTGCGGGCTACCTACTTTCTGAGTTGGCGGGGATGAGACAGTGGAGTAGCGATTATGAGGATTGGGGTACTGCGAAAACTAGACCATCCACAATTGAGTGGGTACGAGCGTGCTCGGCAGACTACACTGTCGACTCGTCGTGGAATATGACTGCCGTGACGGCGGAGGCATGCAGTGATCGGAATGGTCCGGTATGGTATGGTATGGAGGTCGAAACCATACCATACCAGCTGCTTACGGTAGTTATGCTAACGTGCGTTATCAGCGAGTGGACCATATCAGCGAGTGGACCACTTTTCACCACAACGCGGCATTCCACACTTAAACGTTGAATTTCTCCACAACGCGTCATGGTCTCGCATTCGAACGAAAATCGGATTCTTCTTGCTATAGCTGCTCTTGAAAGAGACCCAAAGTTAACCGTTCGAGCCGCGGCAAAGATCTATGGCGTCCCTCGTACGACTGTTATTC